CTCACAATTTTTGTACTTTGGTTGATACGTATTTTTCGTTGCTAAACTTTTGCTTATTTATTATTTCCATGCATCTTCGATTTTTAAATGCAATGTCTTCTTTAATACTTTACCGCTAATAATTTTATTTAGTAAGAAGCTTTTAGCCTGTATGGTTACTTCTCGAATTGGCTTTATGGTTCTTTTTTAATTCTCAAACTTTTCTTGGGATATCTTTAAGTCTTGATACATTACAATTCTATTGAGAATTACATGGTTTTCCGATCGCATTTGTTGTTTTTTTTATAGGTATTCATGCATCAAATATGGGGGATAATTGTTGTAGCTGAGTTGCTATTCCGAGTTACTAAGAATTATATTCCTAGGAGGAAAATGCTAGCAGTTACTATTTCGCCGACTACTATTTATCCACAGCTTGTTACATTACTTTTATAATTTGGCCTAATTAGATCAGTTTTCAAATTTGAGCGACATTTTATGCAGCAAACTTGGGGCATATTTTTAAACATTATATATGTTTAGAGGTTTTGTGACCTTGTTTTCGCACCTTCGTCATATTGGTAGGAAGACTTAGAGGAACGCACCTTGGCCTGAGGCAATTGTATGCATGATCATTTCCAAGGTCGGAACGTGGACGTGGTACATTCCCAAACGTCTCGCCGGCATCAAAGTCCTTATCGTCAGTGAGTCTCGCCATTCTTAGCGCTTCACAGCAACTCGTCAAAGAGACAAGGGGAGCCGATACTTTGACCAAACGTGTGCTAAACAGTTGTGGTTTCTCCTCTTCTGCCCTGGGCTATTCACATTTTATATATCCCCCTATCACGCCTTAACTCTTACACTTTTTACTGTACTTATTTCGATGTAGTGGTGTGCTCCTTTGAGCGGCATATGAAAACCCTTCACACTCCACACTGTCATATTGGTATGCAATCCTCATTACATAGGTCTTATCATAATCTCTCTCTTGCCCCGTAAGATCCGTCTGCATTCTCCCTGGTACAGGTATTTCACTCGACCCTGGTTCAATGTTGAACCACGATGTTTGTGGGTTGGCACACAAGAGACTAGGGCATGGGAAGTCATAGACTTGTTATCATAGATAAAAAGAGGATAGAATCATTGGAAGCTAGAGCTAGTTAGATAACAATAGTCGTGATTCAAGGATCACTTCTATGATCAAACATGACTATTTTTAGCCAAATAGCTTTAGTCTTCACCACGTCTTTCCTATTTTTATCTGTGATACCATATCCA